GACATTGATTTTAATCTTTCATTTATTTCCTGTGAGCTGTGGGTTAGATGTTCGGCTGCTAACTGCAAGTTAGTGGTTCAGAAGAACAATAAGGCTAAGGCTCTCTGCTGCTATAAAGATTTACCGTCTTGGAAACCCTATAAAGGATCAGTGTGAGTCAAAATGAACTCTGTTGTAATAGTTTTGGTGGTGATGGTGGTGGGCGGTGGGCGTTTGTTTTTGTTCTTTTGCTTTCTTACATTTTTCTTTATATTATCCCACAACTCCTCCAACCTACGTGTGGTCAATAGTATCCCGCATGTCAAATCTGTTCTTGAGAAGTTCTCTACATTCAGGTGAGATACACTGAAGATCCAAAGCGTACTGTTTGGACTTGTTTAGATTTTCTTCTGCATCAGCCTGAACTGGCTGATGATGCTGATCTTCTTCATCTTTTCCCACGAATATAGTCCATTTGATTCCTATGTATTCTGTCTGACAAACTGGATGTGTGGTAGCCATTTTATGTTGTTGGACAGGGTATTTGGAGTTATTTATCAGCACACCTTGATTGCGTATGTGATCAGTGTCCAGCTGCAGAAGTTGGTAGAGTTCTTCCCTTTCTTCATCACTGGTTTTAGTGGTTGGTCTGTCAATGTGAGTGAGAATTCTATTAACTGTTCTTCTGTTGTAAACATGAGACGTTGTCTGAAAGCACTGACTTTCCTGAAAGAAATCATTTTATTGGGGGCTCATACAACTCATCACAATCCACACATACATCCACTGTGTCAAGCCCATTTGTACATTCATTGCCCTCATCATTCTCAAAACATTTGCTCTCCACTTAAGCCCTTGGTATCAGCTCCTCATTTTCCCCCTCCCCCTTCCTCCCCCCTCCCTCATGAACCCTTGATAATTTATAAATTATTATTATTTCGTCATGTCTTACACTGTCAGGCATCTCCCTTCACCCACTTTTCTGTTGTCCGTCCCCCGGGGGGGAGGTCATATGTAGATCCTTCCTTTGGATGATGAATGTGATACCATTTTTCTTCAGTTTGAGCTCATTTCTGGCCTAATTAACCTTCAATTTGCTCTCATTTCTGCTCAGGTAAACCATATGAATGGCCAATACTAGTCCATTTCAGTTAACTAATGCCTAGAATATCAATCTTTATGCATTGCATTTCTAATGACTTTCTATTTTCCAAAGATCCTATTTTGTACATTCTAATTTTTTTTTATTCCTAATGAATATTTGCAGCTTTTTTTCCCTTTTGACTTATTCTGCATCCACAAATGAAGATCCTAAAGCCTTGCTCTATGCATGTCATTGAGTTCAGCTCTACTTTTCGTGAAGCACTGGTGGTGCAGTAGGTTAAGCATTGGACTGCAAACCCACCAGGAGACTCTATAGGAGAAAGATGACGCTTTCTGCTCCTGTAAAGCTTTGCCTCCTTGGAAACCCTATGGAGCAGTTCGACTATGCTTTATAGAGTTACTGTGAATGGGAGTCAGCGCCACATCAAAGGGCTTGGGTTTTCCACTTTAAGGAACTTTGGCCGGTTGACTAGAGAAACACATCCATATATGATATTCATATATGTGTAAGGAAGAGCTTTATGTCAAGAAGTAGTTATATATCAAGAAAACAGCCCAACCCCGTCCAACCCAAGTTCATAGTTCAATACTAGCCCATCGGCCCTTCTTCAGACTCACACAACCACATGCAATGATGTACACTGAAAGATGATTGATCACAGGTTGGTGGGTGCAGAGTTGTGTGAATCCAATGGCGGTGGACGCATCACTACCGGGCTCTAGCAGAAATCAGGGTTAGCCTGCAAGAAGGTGAAGGCAGAGAAAGAAGAGGTGGTTCCCAGGCTCCTCCCACAAGGCCACACCCACAAGGAGGCACCATCAGCCTGTGACCTGATTGACAACTGAATACCGCCGCTGCACTTTGAGATATCTTCAAGTTTACATGGAAGTATTTAACTACCACGCCTTCCAACCTAAGGCCCTCATCTTCCCCACTGCATCAAACAGTGTACTTAACACTAATTATGTGGTTTCAGTGGCGAATTTTTCCAGAGTCTTCTACCTTTTCTGTTTTGTGTAGTCTGCCCTAATCTGGAAGCTCTACTGTGCACCAGGAGTGAGCCTGGTTGTATTTGAAATACCCGTGGATTCGAGCATCACAGAAACACCCAAGCCTCCACATAATGACAGTGACAGACCAGTGATGGAGCATAGGTCTACAGTGCCCTGGTATCTGGGACAGTTCATCTGTCTTCCCTTGATTTTCATAGTTCTGACTTTTCCCTGAATATAGGCAGGTTCTTGTAGCATGCCCCTCGGTTGAAATCCATCAGCTTTAGGGATGCACTTTGGGTAGGAATACCCAAGGGTCTAGTGTCTTCGTCAGTGCATCGTGTCAGGAGTCCCATCACGGCCGGTAGCTTCATTCCTGCTGATGCTAATTTGCACACTAGATGACGATAGTATCAGGTTCTCCACTGTAAGGTACTGTGTTTCCCTTTTTATTTTAGATGCTCTAAAGGGAGATACTTTGAGACTAATTGAATATTGGTTCTGGTCAAACATTCATGTACTAGTTTTAGAATCGAACGCAGATATTTCCTTTATGGGTTTGATTATAGTAGTTGCAAAATGGCGATTTTCTCCCATATCATTCCTTCTGCTGCTGCCATTCTGCTCTAAGGAAGAGCTGATCCTTCCCTCCAATTAACTTATTTGTTCAGTTACATATGGATTCCTGTTCTAGTTCATTGCCTGTAATACAATACTCTGTCATTTATTTTTATGCCCACAGTCTGTCCCTCGGAACCCTCCAGGCTGCCCCATGTGTCCTTTGAGTAGGTTCACGTCATTCTTTGAGTATGTCCATATTATTTCATGGCACAGAATGTTGTAGTTTCATCTGGTATTTTCCACGTGGCTTGGGATCAGCCCTGTCGCCAAAGAATCCCATTTGGGTTGTTGTTATTCAATAGAGCATCACTGCTTTGAGTGCTTTCGTCAGAGAGGACGGAGATGGGGGTCTGTGTTTATCCACGACAGTTCCTGGGTGATGCAGCCAGTAAGGTGCTGAGCTGCTAACTGAAAGGGCCTACCCCAGGAGGTGCCTCAGCAGAAAGCCCTAGTGACACCCTTAAAGCTCTTCAGGAGTACAGGCCTCCTGTGACACCCATGGGATCACCATGCGTTCACGTAGGCATGACTATAACTGGTATTTAGAGATAGAAATAAATGCACGCACATACACACATACCATCCATATACCTTGTACATACATACACTCATATTTAGCATTCTAGATTTTTTAAATTGTTATTAACAAATTGGTTATTTCTTATCTCGCAGGCTTTTTCTCCTCCGTGACAGCCAGAGCAATCCAAAGGCATTTGTACTCACACTGTGTCATCACCAGAAAATTAAAAATTTCCAGATCTTACCTGTAAGTATTGATAATGTCATAGTAATCCTCACCCCCACCCCCAACTTCATTCTTAAGGTGGCTTTCAAGTTATAAACTAATCAGTGTTGGCGTAGTAGTTGTACGCTGGAGTGCTAACCACAAGGTCAGCCCTTAGAAACTACCCGCTTCTTCTCAGAAGAAAGACCGAGCTTTCTACTCCCACAGTTACAGTCTCAGAAGCTCAAGAGGTAGTTCTCCCCTGTCATATAGGGTCCCGGTTCAGTTAGCATCGACTCGAAGACAGTGAGGGGTTTTTGGATATAACTTTAAATATTAGGTAGTGTTAAGCTCACAGATAAGATACCTTCAAGAGTCTCTGTAAAGGTCGCCTATGTGAAATTTGGGACAATGTTTCCCTAAAAAAACTCAAATTGGACAGCCCTGCTCTACCGATTCCACCCTTTGTTGTACTTTCTTTGTGGATCCAGGGTGCTGAAGTTACTTCTCTTGCACTGTGTGCTGAGAGGGACTTAGAGCTCTTCTGCATGGGCACAGTAGCTAACAGGTGAGCCAGTGGTGGCCCAGAAAGCCTTGGGACTCGCCCAGCAGCACATCCGGAGCCAAACCCCGGACCTCTGACCATCCATCCTCCATGTTTCTTGCCTGCTCTACCGACTGCGTGTGCACGTGTTTCCCTTAGTAATGTCACAACAGGCAAGACAGAGCTGCTGCCACCTATCACCCTGGCACTAACTTGGAAAGCATTCTTTTGTCTCTCTAGTGTGAGGATGATGGACAGATGTTCTTCAGCCTTGACGATGGGAATACCAAATTCTCGGACCTGATTCAGCTTGTGGACTTTTACCAGCTCAACAAAGGAGTTCTGCCTTGCAAACTCAAGCACCACTGCATCCGAGTGGCCTTATGACCTCAGACCTACTCTCGGCTGAAGACTGGAGGAAGTTACACTGGAATGAAGGAGAGGGCTGTAGACTGGTGAAGAGCACACGTCTGTTCTGCACCTTGGTATTCAGAGAGAGATGGGTTTGTTCGGTGCCATCCAACCAAGATTGACGAGTTTGTTGGATTTAGCAATGATTCGCTGCTGAGAAGCCAGCAGGGTCACGTCCCTCTGCATTTGCCAAATCAAGGAGGGTGTGAGAAATCAAGTGCTAATTTGAGAATAAACTGGAATGATCATCTTGGCTGGGCCACTTAGGAACAAGAACCGAAGAGAAATAATTGGAAATGGACTCTTGCCCTGGAATAATCTTGACAATTAAAACTGATATGTTTACTTTTTGTATTGATCACTTTTTTTTGCACTCCTTCTTTGTTTTTAATATTGTATTCAGCCTGTGTTAGGAGGGGATGTGGCTTTTAGTTAATAAAAGCATCAAACCGTCTCAAGTGGGCAGAATTCAAAGACTGAATATTGGTCTCAAAATGTCTCCAGAGGGTGCTCCCCCTCTTTGCAGATTACCACAGTGTTGAATTCAGTTCCCAAATTACAAACCACCCCACCTCTTCCCAGGATACTTGAAAACTTTTTTTCAGTTCAAGGTATTGACTGTGGTGAACATTTAGTATGATCTGTAGACCCAGTCAATCAGCCACAGTCTGTTAGCCATTTCTCTATGCACAAATGTTTAATACTTTGTCATTAACGTGTCTTCTCCTCCACAGTTCAGATGTTATTTCTGTGAAAAAGTCACTGTTGTGCAGCACAGCAGGGTCGAACAACCTCACCTCCAGTTTGATACTTGCCCAGCCTTGCTGAGACACCTCCAGCCCCCACGTCCATCGCCAGAGGTGCCACGGAATTCACCAGAGGGGGTACTTTTAGCCTCGAATTTTTCACAGCCTCAGCCTGTTCTAGAATGATCACTGCCTTATTCCCGCTGGCTGCTGAGGTGTGAGTCATTCTTTGGCTGACCTCCCTCTGGGTATTAGAAGACGTAGAGAAAATGGCACCCGGCTGGCTTCCGGCAGTGCCCTGTGGGTTTCCATGGTGATGAAGACAGAGAAACATTACAAAGGGCACAGACACAGCCTGACATTTAAAGGTTTTTTGCTAATGCCGGTCCTGCTGAACCCCTCCCCCCACTTCCCCCCCAACTAAGCCAGGCAAATGAAAGGCAGCTAGAGGCTCCTCCTCTGCTGGCTTAGGCTCACAAGTACCTCACAATGATTGTGGACATGGACACAGTCTATTAACACAACACTTGCTTCCCCCTCAGGGAAGAAGCATCCAGGGGGCGGGAGTGGTTCACCCTGTCCCCTCCACCCATGGGCGCCACCTTGACCATTTTCCTTTAGTTAAGTTTTCAGGTATGAGAGTGTCCATTTCTTTACCTTTGATCTTTGCAAAGCAGAAAGGACTGCCATGACCAGCATGCAGACTACTGTGGTGAGCAAGATGATTTTCTTTCCTGATATAACAGTTATAACACTTGACTGGCTCCTCCGAATAGCCTCTCGCTACTGGATTGCCTGAAATCCACCTCACTGAAGTGCTCCCAAAGGAACAACAGTTCACTGTTCTCCAGTTGACACACCTAGTTTAGGGCAGACATTTAACCAGCTTCAGTAGCACATTAAGTCTATGGTTTAGAGACACTGTATTTTAGGTTACAGATCGCACATTGTTATTTTCCATGAGATGCCTACTTAGAAAAATGAAGATTTTTTTTTCTTTCAGTAAAACGTATTTTTCACCAGAAATACTAAATTACATTCTCTTCCTTTTATAAACTTTCAAGCAACTGACAATTAGGTAATACTCAAGTTCAGACCAGATGTCTGTCTGCTGAACTTCACTTTAGGGATGGATACTTCAGTTATACCTTTGTATCATTTTTCTCCTCAGTGGTTTAAGGTAATTTCATACACACACTTTCTTTTTTAACCCCTAGGATTTCTTTTTTACGTTTACATAGACAAGTACCATTAGCGTATAATCCCTCTCTCACACCCTTTTTCCATAGACAGTTAAGATTTACAGTATTTCATATTTATAAATAAGCATTCTATTTAAAAGGAGATTTACAATTTTGTATGTCGATGGTCTGGCATAGTCTTTTGTACTTTCCCAGCCGGAGTGAATTGAAGGCAAACGCCCTAGCACCGCAGCAGACGTCCTGCAGCCCCTGGCTCACCGGCCTTTGTGCTGGGTGGCTGGGCATTCCATCTGAAAACAACAAAATCCCTAGAATCTGCTGGCGTCCCATCCAGCGATCCAAGGACTGAAGGACATTTGACTTTTATTTTTATATTTAAATGACATGAATGTAAAGGGGACAAGCTCAGGGTTGTTTTGGAGCCTGTTGAATTTTTATCTATGCCTGTGATTTTCATTTCTAAACCAATACTTCATGTAGCAACCTGGTCTGAGTGGAGAAGGAAAATACCAAATGCTTTTGGTATTAGAGCTGAATAGCTAAACTCTATTGCATCAGATGTTAGGGTTGCAGAAAGTTCTTGGGGGTTTTTTTTGTGTCTGTTGAACCTTGAAGAAATAATGTGCCTCAGTCTAGATGTTTTGTCTTCTCTTTTCTGCACTTAATACCTGACAGTGTGACCAATCCGCTCACCTTCCCGGGGGTGAGGTGTGCTTGTTGTGGGTTGTGTAGTCACAGTGCACGCTATAGAGACTTAAATGGCCTGACATTGAAATGTTTTCAGGGAATGCAAAAGGTATTAACTGAAGAGACAAAACCTTTATTTCATGTGCTTTGCTTCATTCTGTACATAGCTTTTTGGCTCGTGAACCTAATTGTAAACTTTCAGGTAATTTTTGTACAAATAAGGGACTGATGTTCTGTTTCTTGTAATTAGAAATAAACATGAATACAGTGTTCTTCATTTTTTATTACTAGTAATGTCTTTTTCTATATTTAAAGACATTATGGCTGACCATCTACGAAAAACCTTTGGAAGTGACTTCGAATCTTTCAGATGTGCTCCTTGTTAGTAGTTAAAAGCAAGCACAAGTAATTTACAGTGGTTTCCAAGAGATCTCAGGCATAAACACAAGGCCTTTGGGTGACAGTGTGCAGAGGTCAAACTCTGTGAATCTTTTTTTATCCTGCCACCCACTTGTCCTGAAAGCAGCTCCAGGTCACTGGGAACTTGTCTGAACTCACACTCGGGCCCCACACCAGCACCAGACAGTCTCTCTTTTCCTCCTCCTCCTTCTGTCAGTAACCCACACCCAGTTACTGTAGAGTCTAGTCAACTCTTGGTGTGCTCACGTGGGTCAGAGTAAGACTCCTCCAGAGGGTTTTCAACAGTTAATTGTTGGGAAATAGATTTCCAGCCACTTCTGGATAGGATCCAACCTCCAACGTTTCCATTAGCAACAGAGTGTATTAACTGCCTGCACCGCTCAAGGACTTTATTATTAAACACCATAGTTCGACACCGGCAGCATGCACATCCTGTTTGTTTGTCAGTTGCCCCGTCTTTTCCACCCCTCCCCGCAGCTATTTTTGTGAATACCTTATACTACACATATAAAGTTTCTTTACAGCAACATGTACAACAACCTGCCCTAACTCCATTAGAAGTTCGATAGACGCAAGCACCCAGAGAAGGCTCAACTTCTTTTCTCATTTTAGCATCTCCCCTTCCCTAAGAATCTCCAATTACTAGGAATGAAACTCCTGGGGGAAGTGTCACTATCGATAGTTAAAACATCTCAAATACAAATGGTTGTAAACAAAAAAAAAATCTCCTGACTCATAACAATAGTCAAAGTAAACTGGGACACAGAGGCAAGATCCTGCCCCATCCCATGACACCCTCTTGGTTCCACCTGGTGGCAAGATTCTTGCTGGCATCTCCCATCCATGATCCTATCTGGCTGAAAACTGGTGGTGCCTACTTGGATCCCTTTGCCCACAATACGACTTCAGAATTGTCTTAGACCAATTGGGATCCTGCCTCAGACAGCCTCCTCCAGGATCAACTCGGGGAATCACTGTGCCGGGATTTTCCCAGCTCAAACTGCAAAAACCTGTGTGATTACCAGAAGCTACTGACTCTAGACCCCCACGCACCCTCCCCAGTCATATTATCAGAAAGAGATGCCCTTTTTCAGTTTATAGACAAGGAAAAAAAGATCAGAGAAGTTAGAATATTTGTCCATGGAGTTTATGGCAGATCCAGGATCGGGTAGACTCCAAATACACCACCAGGTAAATAAAGCGATGCTCTCATTTGCAGCCAACCGCTCCATGGGAGGGAGGACAAGGAGGCTTTCTTGTCCAGTTGAGAGTCAGAGCCTCAGAAATCCACAGACGCAATGATACTCTCCTGTAGGGTCTCTATGAGTCCGTTTAAACTCAATCAGTTTGAACTTGGAGAATTTGCAACATGTTCCAATGTTAACATTTTAATATGTACTAGCCCTGCAATCCAGGAAGAGTGATTTTGAATTTCTTTTGGCAGGATACAAGAACGTGTAGTTATCCCAAAATGAGATACAAAAATGTGTGATCAAGATTGCAAGCTGTTTCGCATAGAATGGTGTCTGGATGAGGCAAACCGTTAATAAGTGTTCAACTTCTAGCACAAAGACTGACACTTCAGGCCTACAGAGAGGTGCCTCAGAAGACAGGCATAGCAGTCTACTTCCAATGGTCAAATCTTGAAATCTCTCGGAACAGTTCTACTCGGCACCCATGGGTGACCGGGAGTCAGAATCCACTCAAGCAATTAATGCCAAAGACAACTTGGCAGCTGTTCGGAGAATATACATATTTTAGCAAAAAAGTCAGACTAGAAGTCTCCACTAACATGCCTGAGCTTGACCTTTTGGGGTCCCGTCTTCAAATACGTTCCTTGGAAGACTGAGCACCCACCGAGCAGTAACCCCTCTGCCCACCTATGAAGTGAGGCCTTGGCACTGGGATGTGAGGGTCCTAGGGGAACCCCATTCAACAATGTCTGGGGAGGTAGTACCATCCTACTGGCACTGACTCTTAACCTTCCTTGCCCCTGTTCATTTAATTTCCACGTTCTGTTTTGGTGTGTGTGTGTTTTTTTTTTTTATCACCATCCATCCCTCCATCCATTGTGTCAAGCACATTTGTATGTTTGTTGACATCATTCTCAAAACATTTTCTACTTGAGCCCTTGGTATTGACTCCTCATTTTTTCCCTCCCTCCCTCATGAACCCTTGGTAATTTATAAATTATTATTTTTTCATGTCGTGTACAGACCGACATCTCCCTTCACCCACTTTTCTGTTATCTGTTCCCCAGGGAGGAGGTTATATGTAGATCATTGTGATTGTTTTCCCCTTCCTCCCCCACCTTCCCCTTCTGCTCCTGGTATTGCTACTCTCATATTTGGCCCTGATGGGGTTTATCTGTCCTGGATTCCCTGTGTTTCCAGCTCTTATCTGTACCTGTGTACATGCTCTGGTCTAGTTGGGTTTGTAAGGTAGAATTGGGATCAAGAACTAGAAGAAAGTTGTATGTTTCATTGGTGCTATCCTGCACCCTGACTGGCTCGTCTCTTCCCAGTGACCCTTCTGTAAGGGGCTATCTAGTACCGACCTGAAGCAGGGAACCAATAGAGAGTTCTGCGGGGCCAGCCCCAATCCCAACTAAGTGGACACCTCCCCCCCTCCTCACAGAAGAATTCACTTCAGAGGACAGCACTAATTTGCACATTCTTGCATCATTAATTTACTTCTCTCAAC